ACTGCGACAAACACATCAAATGCCTGTTAATCCATGGACAAATTAATCGAACATTTATTTATTTAGGATTTGCATAATGAATCAGTTCCTTCATCCATGGGCAGACAGGCGTTTGAAGATTTTTTCGGTTGCAACTGAGAGGAGTTTGTGCGCAAGTTGTGAGCCAGCATTGGAATGGATGGATGTCACGTCATGTCACTCTGAGGCATTGACTGACAGCTGTGAGAAAAATCTATTTTTAAATAGGGGTTTTCTCCTAATCTATGCATTTGCTAGCAAAAACAATTTATAGATAAAATCTTATGCTTAAAGGGATCCTATAGTGCCAGGAAAACAAAGCCATTTTCCTGGCACTATAGGGTTAATAGGTGCCCCCCTCCCTCGCAACCCCCTTCCCGCTGGACTGAAGGGGTTAAAAACCCTTCAGCCACTTACCTGAATCCAGCGCCGATATCCCTCGGCGCTGGGTCAGGCTCCGCCCACACTCCTCCCCCACCAACGTCAGTCAGCGGGGGAGACCTAATGGCCGCACGCTCATTAGACCTTATTCAATGCCTTCCTATGGGGAAAATCTGATGCTGAAGGTCCATGAGGATGTCCAGCGTCAGATAACAGACCAAAAGTCTGTTGGATTCTGGAAGCCCTCTAGTGACTGTCTGATAGACAGCTACTGGGGGCAGACTTGTAAACATCGCAGCACTAAGTGCAAAAGGGTTACAGCACCCAGACCACCTCAATGAGCTGAAGTGCTCTGGGTGCCTACAGTGTCCCTTTAATCTAATGAGCATAGATGGTTTGGGTCATGTCAGAAGCCCTTTAAAGGACCACTATAGGCACCCAGACCACTTCGGCTAGGATTAACCCGTTCTGCTGTAAACATAGCAGTTTCAGAGAAACTGCTATGTTTACTTTAGGGTTAATCCAGCCTCTAGTGGCTGTCTCATTGACAGCCGTTAGAGGCGCTTCCGCGCTTCTCAATGTGATTTTCACAGTGAGAAGACGCCAGCGTCCATAGGAAAGCATTGATAATGCTTTCCTATGAGACTGGCTGAATGCGCGCGCGGCTCTTGCTGCGCATGCACATTCAGCGATGACTGGGAAAGGAGGAGGAGAGTCTCCAGCACAGAGGGAGCCCGGCGCTGCAGAAAGGTAAGTGTTTAACCCCTTCCTCTCCATCCAGCCCGGCGGGAGGGGGACCCTGACGGTGGGGGCACCCTCAGGGCACTAAACAAGTATGTTTTCCTGGCACTATAGTGGTCCTTTAAGGCCAATGTAGCCGAACTGGAAAAAGTCTCCAAGTCAGCTCTGCTTCGAGTTCAACTACTTTGGCATTAAATGTGAAATTCTCTTTGAATTCACTGAATGAATAATATTGTTTGTGTGTAATAGTGTGTTTAAGGTGAAGGTGCATGCGTGGGATAATAGGAATAAGATCCCTTTGTGGGGTGGTCTCCATTAGCTAATGACATAAAGGGCCAGATTGGACGAGGAAATTCTAGAGTGGCATAGCAACCACTATACGTATTAAAGGGACAATTTCCTGAGGTGTGTTTTTTGTCTTTGTTTCTCTTTTTCAATTGTGCCAGAGAGTCAAGTATTTTTTGTTTCTTTGGTAATTATTTGTATGGACCGAAAATGCGTACTCTGTTCCTACCGGACAATGCTGGTTTCCTGTAAGCTTATAATTATGTTATTTTACAGGTTTTACTGTTTTATTTAAAGGTTGTGGAAGACCTCACCTTCCTAATAAAAACAAATGGAGGGTGGGGGGTAATTAGTAAATATTGATATTCTAGTATTGTAATTAGCTGCTATAGTCACAGACTGGTTTAACAAATATCTCTGCAAAACAATATGAGTGCAAAACACTCACTGTACTTCCACTTGTATAATCCTGCTACAATACTACATTATGTTTTATGGAGCCCAACTACAGCTGAATGAGTAGGACATTCTGTTTTATATAACCAAGTTAGCACTGAACGAATATGACATTCTGTATTGGAGAACCCAGCTAACGCGGAACGAGTAGGAAATTTTATTTATTTTTTTACATTTTTTATTTTTGTTGTGTATGTGATTACAGCAGTGCTTGCATAGCCACAGTAGCTTTCACAAGCGAGTTTTTCATTGCATATAACATAAACGTGGCATATAGATAACTTGCACATTTTTAAGGATAATATATAACATGCTAGGCTAATTTTGCATTTAACAGTGTATCTCTAGAACCTCATCAGTGTCGAGCAGACTTCTATGTGTACCTGCATGTCAGTTGTGTCATTCAGGGTATCATTGTCGATAATAGGGTTGATATGCAAGCTGGGTGGTCAGTATAGTGGACATTTTTATTTTTATAACCAAGTTAGCACTGAACAAGTGTGGGATTCTGTATTATAGAGCCCAACTACAGCTGAATGAGTAGGACATTCTGATTTATATAACCAAGTTAGCACTGAACGAATATGACATTCTGTATTGGAGAACCCAGCTAACGCGGAACGAGTAGGACATTCTGATTTATATAACCAAGTTAGCACTGAACGAATATGACATTCTGTATTGGAGAACCCAGCTAACGCGGAACGAGTAGGACATTCTGATTTATATAACCAAGTTAGCACTGAACGAATATGACATTCTGTATTGGAGAACCCAGCTAACGCGGAACGAGTAGGACATTCTGATTTATATAACCAAGTTAGCACTGAACGAATATGACATTCTGTATTGGAGAACCCAGCTAACGCGGAACGAGTAGGACATTCTGATTTATATAACCAAGTTAGCACTGAACGAATATGACATTCTGTATTGGAGAACCCAGCTAACGTGGAACGAGTAGGACATTCTGATTTATATAGCCTAGTTAGCACTGAACAAGTCAGACATTCTGTTATGTAGCCCAGTTAGCACTGAACGAGGAGGACATTCCATTTGAAAAAAGGCACCTAATACTGAACGAGAAAGACATCCTGTCCTTAAGAGACCTGAAAGACTAGGGCATTCTAATCTATAGAGCCTTCTAACACTAAACAACTTGGACTTTTCAGTATATAGAGGTTGGGTACTACTAAATGAGAATCCTATAGAGCTGGGCTCATGCTGAATGACTAGGTCATTCAATCCTACAGATTATTGCTAACTCTCAATGAGTCAGACACGCATTTCTACAGAGCCCAGCAAATACTAAATGAGTAGGACATTCCATATAAAAGTAGAACATCAAAGGATTAGATTATTATCATGACTTAAACCACATTGGTTCTCAGCAGTGTACATTTTCTGCATGCTAAGTTAGTACAAAGCATTTACCTAGTCTGCCATGGTTAGCAAGGAGGTCCAAGGTACCACCACTGCATACTGTTTCTTTTCTGGAACCTACACCTATCTGAGTTTCTTGGAACCCCCACACATTATTTTGGTTCCCAACAACCATACCATGGCAATAAAAAGGGATCTTCTCCGTTGCCCTTTGGTTTCATTGACTGGTTAGAGCAGTGGTAACCTCACTGCCTTAGAACTGGGAAACCACATCACCAGTAAGTGCCCATCTGCAAGACACCTAAATATCCACCTACCTTACATTCCAGGGTGTCATCAAATCGATGATTTTTTTTTTTTTTTTTTTTAAATGCTGTCAACAACAAAATTAAATTTCAAGCTTTAAAAATAAAATGGATGGGATGAGCACTATCTCCAGCTCATTTTCATGTAACCATTGTCAATACTCAAACCGGGTTCAAACCTTAAATGCTGAGGAAGAGGAGTTAGCCACGACACGGGTATCCTGCAATCATCCATCTCTGCCAACTATGATAAACGTCAGAGCTTAAGGGGAACCAAAAAATATACGTTTGCTAATGCTCTTTTAAAGAAAGTCACACCAGTGAATTGGTGGAAGTCACTTGAGCCACTTGGATTCAGAAATTGTTGAAGTAATGATTTAACTTTTAACAGCAGTGGCCTCTTCTGCTGGCGTCAAAAGAATAGGCTCTTCTTTTTGACTTGTTCATGAATAATTGAGCAGTGAGACTGCAGGGGCATGATCTATATACCCAAACTGCTTCATTAAGCTAAAGTTATTTTGCTGACTATAGTGTCCCTTTAAGTTTTTATTTAGTATATTTTTTCCCCCAAGATATTTTGTTTAACCACATTAGTTAACAAATACTAATGTTTAAGCAAATACAAAAATATGTACTATATAATATTGTTTTAGTTAAATAAAGCCATTTACACATTTCTCCAAATACGATTAGTTAACCTAATAAACTAAAATCACTTCTGATATTGCTATTTTACAAATCTAAATATGAAATTGTCATTGGCTTGCAAATTTTAAAGATTATAACTACCAGCAAGAATGAGTCTTTACATTTCAGTCAAAATACTAAAAAATAAAACGTATTGACGTATTTTTGATCTGCCATGTAGTTGCACTGCTTTAGAGCTATGACATTGTTAGGTTATGCACGTATAAGATTGTGCAGAGGGTTAAAGGTTTGTCAGAGAAATAAGCCTCCTTTTCCAGCAGAAAAATGCTCAACGAACCCACATCGTTAAAGTATTTCCACTAGTTCGTGTTTATCTATAGAAACAGCATAACAAAAATTTGTACTCAGAGCAGTTTGGCTATTATAACCTAAAATCTTAAATTCGCTTGTAATTCCCAAAAATGTATTTACACTTTAGCGAATGACCCGGACAGTGTGACATATAATGATTTAAATTCCTGGCATATTCTAGGACCATATTTGGCCAGTGTATTTTGTCACTGTCGTTGAATCGTTTAAGTGGTAACTTTGTGTCTACGATTAACTTGCAGGTTTAAATGTGCTGTCACAGAAATCCTCCCCCGTAATGATTTTTGTGTATAATATTCAGGATTCGTGTCCACACAGGAACTTGCATTCCTCTCCAGAGATAGGGGCGGGTGACAGCGTCGTCTGTGTGTGTGTGTCAGTGACACTAATGGGGTGGGCAGTCTGGTTGGGTTCCACAAATGGGAGGTTGGGAGGAGGGAGGCAAGACAGGAAGACTGACTGTGTTACCCAGTGTATGTGTGCATTACAGAAGTATTCAACAAGGGAGAGAGACAGGACTTTGGGAATTGGGGGTGACAGTCTGCAGGAGCCAAAGGTGGGTAAAAGCCTGGAAAATGGGACTATGGCCTGTATGTACCAGCAGTGGGTAATACACTGGGGATCAGAGTGACAGCTGTCAAGAGACAGTGATGGGCTATTGCCTGGGAACTGGGTGTCAGTCTACCGGTACCAGAGATGGAATATATTCTAGGAATTGGGGTGACATTGGTAGGGGCCAGCTAGGGTAATAGCCTGAATGTTTGGATAATAGTCTGCAGCCAATGACAGTGGGTATATATGCTGGGAATTGGGCTTGCAGTCTGTTGACGCCAGCTGTGGGTAGTATCTTGTGGGATTGTCGGAGCCAGCTGTTGGTGACTTACCACTGTATGTATATATATATGTCTCTATATGTAATTCTGTAATCCTGCTTTATTTTTTTTTATCATGTCATATCCCCTTATCCATTTAAAACTGCCTCTTTTACACATCTTATCCTATCAACTTTATCCATTATATCCATAATACTAGCCCTACATCTATAATAGTGCTTCCTATATGCATTATAATGCTGTCCGTATACATCTCACACTGCCCCTATAACCTTCAATACACTCTCTATACATCTCACACTGTCCCTATAGCCGTCAAACTCTCCATACATCTCACACTGCCCCTTTAGCCATCAATACACTCTCTATACATCTCCCCTATAGCGTCAATAAACTCTCTATACATCTCACACTGCCCCTTTAGCCACTCTCTATACATCTCCCCTATAGCGTCAATAAACTCTCTATACATCTCACCTGTCCCTATAGCTGTCAATAAACACTCTATAAATGTCACATTGCCCCTATAGCTGTCAATAAACTCTCTGTACATCTAGCCTATAGCCTCTATACATCTAGCCTATAGCCTCTATACATCTCACACTGCCCCATAGCCGTCTATACATCTCAGACTGACCCTATAATCGTCAATACACTGTCTATACATCTCAAAATGCCCCTATAGCATTAATAAACTCTCAATACAACTCACACTGCTCCTATAGCTGTCAAAAAACTCTCTATACATCTCACGCTGCCCCTATAGACATTAATAAACTCTCTATTCATCTCACACTGCCCTTATAGCCATCAATAAACTCTATACATCTCACACTGCCCCTATAGCCATCAATAAACTCTCTATACATCTCACACTGCCCCTATAGCCATCAATAAACTCTCTATACATCTCACACTGCCCCTATAGCCATCAATAAACTCTCTATACATCTCACACTGCCCCTATAGCCATCAATAAACTCTCTATACATCTCACACTGCCCCTATAGCCATCAATACACTCTCTATACATCTCACACTGGCCCTATAGCCATCACTACACTCTCTATACATCCCACACTGCCCCTATAACCATCAATAAACTTTCTATACATCTCACACTGCCCCTATAGCCATCAATACACTCTCTATACATCTCACACTGCCCCTATAGCCATCAATACACTCTCTATACATCTCACACTGCCCCTATAGCCATCAATCAACTCTCTATACATCTCACACTGCCCCTATAGCCATCAATAAACTCTCTATACATCTCACACTGCCCCTATAGCCATCAATAAACTCTCTATACATCTCAGACTGCCCCTATAGCCATCAATAAACTCTCTATACATCATGCACTGCTCATGTAACCATCTGATACTGCCTTCATTGAAATCTTTAAATGTAAGCAAGAAGAGATTATTTAAACAAATCTTTAATGCCAATTCTGTATAGATACACACTATGAAGGTTTCTATCTCTTTAGTGTAGAAAAATCTACAATAACTCCATCAGATGATAAAATTCTGTAAAATGTTTGGAGAATACTGCAAAGTTCTGTTGCTTCTAGTATATATATATATACACACGCATGTCACAAGAGTAATGTCTTTGTGAACTTAGGCCTCTGATGTATTTTCCTCTTTATCATTGTATGCCTTCTTAATTTAAAGGAAAAATATATATATATTTTTAATATATAATAGTCCATTCGTCAAGTTTTGAAAAGAAATTGATTTTATTTTAAATGAAGCATATGTCAAAAAATGAGAAAACCCCCATCCCTACCGTTAATATATATGATCTTTCCGCCATATACATGCACCTTGTGTCAGTCAGACAGTGCATGAAAACGGACAGTTAGTCTCTATGGTCACTCCCAGCACAGAAACCGTGAAGACCATAGAGACTAACTATTGGTTTTAATCAATGTCTGACCAAAGCTGCATGTATATGGCTGAAGGATCTTGTTATACACTAAATGAAGGGATTAGTTTGTCTCATATATGCTACACATATATATATATATTTGTAACATATAGGAGAAAATATACCATATATTCGCAACATAGATCTAAGAAAAAATGTTTAAAATCTATTTGCGTTTAAAACTTAATTAAAGGATTATTATATGTTAATGCCTGTTTTATTTTCTACAATGCTGGAAACTCAATAAAAAACAAAGTTTTGAGGTAACAGTTATCCTTTAGAAGAGGTAAAGAGTTGACAATGTCTAGGTTACGGAACAAATTGAGTTAAGAGGTTCTGCAGAATCTGTGGTTATTTAATTCTGTTAGTGTTAACTATTAGGTATGTCAAACCCAGTAGCAAAGAGAATTCTTACGGTAGTAAGGGGGTAGATGGATTGTAATTTGGGTGTATCTGGGCCTGCAGTGCAATAATGTTAAAGTTCCTGCATATTGTGTAAACAGGAGATGGCGTCTGTACAGTAAATTGCAAGATGGCATATCCCTTTCTCGTCATAGAGCACATCTAATCCTCTGATACCTGAGGTAAGCCCATTAACCCATCAGCACAAACCCTAAAGTCCAGATCCCAGAACTGGGGGACAATATTGTGAAAGGTACAGAAAACAAAAGGAGAATTGGGCTGCATCACATTATTCGAAAGGTATGGGACAGAATAAATATACAGAATTTGGGGATTTATCAGGTAGAGTATTGAACAAAAGAGAGGTACAGTCAGAAAGGGAAGAGTGAGTGAGAAAGTTACAATAAGCAGCAAAAATACTGAAATACTGAATTGAGGGACATATTAAGAAAGGAACTGAGCAGAATTAGTGACACATTGTGAAACATATGAACTAAAAGAGAGATACAGAATTGAGGGACGGAGTGGGAAAGTAAGAGAACAGAGAAAAGCGTGGAAAATACTCGGAGTGAAAGGGAGATTTAAAGAATATATCTGATTTGGCTGTTTCTGCTTAAAATATGCCATTCACACCCGTCCTGGTAAGTTTTACCCGCAATCTATGAGCCAGTTTTTTGTTTTTTAAAGTGCTTCTAAACTGGTTCATGGATTGCAGGATAAAACTTACCAGGAAAGGTTAAATAATCTTAACATGTATAGCTTGGAGGAAAGACGAGACAGGGGGGATATGATAGAAACATTTAAATATATAAAGGGAATCAACACAGTAAAGGAGGAGACTATATTTAAAAGAAGAAAAACTACCAAAACAAGTGGACATAGTCTTAAATTAGAGGGACAAGGGTTTAAAAATAATATCAGGAAGTATTACTTTATTGAGAGGGTAGTGGATGCATGGAATAGCCTTCCAGCTGAAGTGGTAGAGGTTAACACAGTGAGGGAGTTTAGGAATGCATTGAATTGGCATAAGGCTATCCTAACTATAAGATAAGGCCAGGGACTAATGAAAGTATTTAGAAAATTGGGCAGACTAGATGGGCCGAATGGTTCTTATCTGCCGTCACATTCTGTATTTCTATGCATTCCCTTTCTGGTAAATAAATCCCAACATCGTAAATGAAAGATACAGAATTGGGAGACCAGACTGAAAAATGTAAAAACAAAACAAAAAAAAGGACTCAAGCGTTAAATAGTAAATAAGAATGGAATGGGAGACAGGGTGTGCAAGCAGGAGAACATGGTGGGAATATAGAGAGGAAAATAAACTCCATCAGAGATTAAAGAGACTGATTGAGAGACAGAGAGACAGACTGGGATTTTGGGTCGTGGTAGTTAGAAGATCAGAGAGATAGGGACTGGCACAGAGGAAAGTAAACAGACATATATGGGAACAGACAGGAGAGGCGAGTCAGATGTCAAACAGTTCCTCTGAAAAGACAGATTTTTATCTCAAGGGTCAAACGTCTCATGGCGCAGCCTTTCTCTCTTGAACCATTGTTATACAATCCGATTCACTTTGGATATGAATTAAGCAGAGCATTATGTGCCAATTTTTCGAATACAGTTTTTTTCCCCATCTACGCCATTTTGAAAGCAGTGAGTTTTATTTAGTCCTGATTTCAACCCAAAATAAACAATCTAGAACCATCAACTTTATTTATTAAAGAATTGTAGGGAAATCAAAGGGAATTTTAAATTTAGAGCCGAAGTACCTAAACTAGAAACATAGCTGATTTGGAGAATTTTTTTAAATTCGGCTACTTGGGCTGAACAAGTCTCGTTTCAGTAAATACTTCTGCAAGTGTTTTTTTGTTTTTTTTTAAGTGTGATTTAAACCCCTTCAGTGCCAGATGATTTTGCCATATAATGACCTGATATATCTTATTCACTAAACTTGGCATTTTAAGACACCGATCATGGGCTTTAAAATTTAGATAGACTTTTGACACCTGCTGCGAAGTTACCCTGGCAACATTATCCCCGTGTATTTTAGTAAAGCGTCACGAGTGCTTATTTACTAAGCAATGATTTGTGGAGAATTGACAAAAGGAATTACAACTTTTTAGGCATACATGGTTAAAATGGGAAAATATTCCTGGTTCACCTTTAGCGGCCCAAAATCTGCACTCATTCTGCCCTTTCTACAATTTCTATTTCATTCATCTTTTCACCCACTTAGGGATTTAGCGGGTAAAGCCCTTTTAGAAACTCTTTATTTTTCATTTTAAGTTTGGAAACAGCCATGTTTCTCATGAAAAAAACAGCCACTTCAGGTTGTGTTCACTAAATGGTCATTTTCTGGGAATACTATAGGAACGATAAATTTTAGGATAAAGTAGCCAGATTGGGAATATTCTTAAATCCAGTTGTGTACAGCTCTGCTATTTTTGGCAAATGTTTCACATTCCCTCGTTTGCGAACCATAGTAATGTTACTCTGAATCCTGCAGTATTATTACTTTTTGTACACACCACAAATGGTTCTCTGTAGCCTACCTTAGTTACACCGGTTAGAAATATTACTCTATAACTTGTCCAGATTTTATTTTGCAGTAATGTTACTCTGTATCCTGAGTCACTAATACCTTGCACTAATGTTACTCTGTATCCTGAGTCACTAATACCTTGCTGTAATGTTACTCTGTATCCTGAATCCGTAATACCTTGCAGTAATGTTACTCTGTATCCTGAATCCGTAATACCTTGCAGTAATGTTACTCTGTATCCTAAGTCACTAATAATACCTTGTAGTAATGTTACTCTGTATCCTGAGTCACTAATACCTTGCAGTAATGTTACTCTGTATCCTAAGTCACTAATAATACCTTGTAGTAATGTTACTCTGTATCCTGAGTCACTAATACCTTGTAGTAATGTTACTCTGTATCCTGAGTCACTAATACCTTGCACTAATGTTACTCTGTATCCTTAGTCACTAATACCTTGCAGCAATGCTACTCTGTATGCTGAGTCACTAATACCTTGTAATAATGTTACTCTGTATCCTGAGTCACTAATACCTTGCAGTAATGTTACTCTGTATCCTGAGTCACTAATACCTTGCAGTAATGTAACTCTGTATCCTGAATCAGTAATACCTTGCAGTAATGTTACTCTGTATCCTAAGTCACTAATAATACCTTGTAGTAATGTTACTCTGTATCCTGAGTCACTAATACCTTGTAGTAATGTTACTCTGTATCCTAAGTCACTAATAATACCTTGTAGTAATGTTACTCTGTATCCTGAGTCACTAATACCTTGTAGTAATGTTACTCTGTATCCTGAGTCACTAATACCTTGCACTAATGCTACTCTGTATCCTTAGTCACTTATACCTTGCAGCAATGCTACTCTGTATGCTGAGTCACTAATACCTTGTAATAATGTTACTCTGTATCCTGAGTCACTAATACCTTGCAGTAATGTTACTCTGTATCCTGAGTCACTAATACCTTGTAGTAATGTAACTCTGTATCCTGAGTCAGTTATACCTTTCAGTAATGTTACCCTGTATCCTGAGTCACTAATACCTTGTAGTAATGTTACTCTGTATCCTGAATCAGTAATACCTTGTAGTAATGTTACTCTAGTCAGTAATACCTTGTAGTAATGTTACTCTGTATCCTGAGTCAGTAATACCTTGTAGTAATGTTACTCTGTATCCTGAGTCACTAATACCTTGCAGTAATGTTACTCTGTATCTTGAATCAGTAATACCTTGTAGTAATGTTACTCTGTATCCTGAATCAGTAATATCTTGCAGTAATGTTACTCTGTATCCCAAGTCACTAATACCTTGCAGTAATATTACTCTGTATCATGAGTCATTAATACCTTGCAGTAATGTTACTCTGTATCCTGAGTCACTAATACCTTGCAGTAATGTAACTCTGTATCCTGAATCAGTAATACCTTGTAGTAATGTTACTCTGTATCCTGAGTCACTAATACCTTGCAGTAATGTTACTCTGTATCCTAAGTCACTAATACCTTGTAGTAATGTTACTCTGTGTCCTGAGTCACTAATACCTTGTAGTAATGTTACTCTGTATCCTGAGTCACTAATACCTTGCACTAATGTTACTCTTTATCCTTAGTCATTAATACCTTGCAGCAATGCTACTCTGTATGCTGAGTCACTAATACCTTGTAATAATGTTACTCTGTATCCTGAGTCACTAATACCTTGTAGTAATGTTACTCTGTATCCTGAGTCACTAATACCTTGTAGTAATGTAACTCTGTATCCTGAGTCAGTTATACCTTTCAGTAATGTTACCCTGTATCCTGAGTCACTAATACCTTGTAGTAATGTTACTCTGTATCCTGAATCAGTAATACCTTGTAGTAATGTTACTCTGTATCCTGAGCTACTAATAACTTGCAGTAATGTTACCCTGTATCCTGAGTCACTAATACCTTGTAGTAATGTTACTCTGTATCCTGAGTCACTAATACCTTGTAGTAATGTTACTCTGTATCCTGAGTCACTAATACCTTGTAGTAATGTTAATCTGTATCCTGAGTCACTAATACCTTGTAGTAATGTTACTCTGTATCCTGAGTCACTAATACCTTGTAGTAATGTTACTCTGTATCCTGAGTCAGTTATATCTTGCAGTAATGTTACTCTGTATCCTGAGTTATACCTTGTAGTAATGTTACTCTGTATCCCAAGTCACTAATACCTTGCAGTAATGTTACTCTGTATCCTGAATCAGTAATACCTTGTAGTAATGTTACTCTGTATCCTGAGTCAGTAATACCTTGTAGTAATGTTACTCTGTATCCTGAGTCAGTTATACCTTGTAGTAATGTTACTCTGTATCCTGAGTCAGTTATATCTTGCAGTAATGTTACTCTGTATCCTGAATCAATAATACCTTGTAGTAATGTTACCCTGTATCCTGAGTCAGTTATATCTTGCAGTATTGTTATTCTGTACCCCTGTCACGTATCCTTTGTATCCATGTGGCAAAAATGGAGATAATTACATCCCGAAAGATCGAGGGTAGTGCCACTCGGCGGTTTTCTGCCATGATGCCTGACTTGTGCGGCATGTTAGGCATCGCCAGCCGCTGCGGACCCACGCAATTATATAGCCCCACGTCCGTCCACAGTAAAGACGACGTCGACGTGCGGGTGACATCACGCAAAAGACGCAAACACACTTTTTGGGGTCAAGGGCTGGGTACAGCCAATCGGATCTGTAAGAGGGTTTTTAAACTCACTTACTCTTTAGCTCATTGCCCTGTTGTGGTTTCCCTTAGATGGTTATACGAGAGTGTGTTCCTGATCTTGTTTTTCTGTTTTTTCACTTTGGCTTTGTTTTGACTTCTCTGATTTCTGGTACCCTTGACCTTTGGCTTTTCGTTATCTCTGTGTCTCGTTCTGTGTCCCTGACCTCGGCTAGTTTTCTGACTATTCTCGGGTACGTTAAGTCCGGCCATTCTAAGGTCCGGTAAGACGTTACCCTTAGTTTTAGGGTGTGATACTATTCTGCGTGCTGCATCAATATAATCCTGACATTACAACATGGCCATAGATCCTGCAGATATGTGTAGGCACATAGTAACTTGTGAGAGAAAGCTAGAGGAGAATGATCACCGTATGGATCAATTTGCCCAAGCTTTCAATATGCTACTAATACGTACGGCTCATTTGCAGCCTGAGGTCCCTTCGGCAGGTACACAACCACCTACTTTACCTACACCTATCGTATATAGGGCACCTACTATCACCCTATCTTCACCCCCACATTTTGATGGTAATATTCATTAATGTCGGGGATTCCTTAATCAAATGGGTACCATTTTTACCATTTTGAATCCTCACCTGGGTCCTTCCCCATGGATAGAGCTAAAATTGGGTACTTAATGAACCAACTACAAGGTAAAGCCTTAGCATGGGCCAATCCATTATGGGAGAGTGATAAAACTGTTGCCCATAATTACCAGGAATTCCTTGAGGAATTCAAATTAACGTTTGAACCATTGGGAAGGGAGAGCAACGCCTCCACTGCCCTATTGTGTATCAAGCAAGGGAACCGGTTTGTCTCAGAGTATGCCCTAGAATTCCGCACCTTGGCTTCTGAGTAGACTGGACCAATAACGGATTAATCACCGCATTCTCAGAGGGATTATCCGAAGCTATCCTTGATGAGATTGCAGCCCAAGAACTACCAGGGAGATTAAATGAATACATCATTTACGTGATGCATATATATAATCGACTTAGGAACAGGGAGATAACTAGAAATAGAACCAGACGTATGAATAGGTCATTGGTGCCTCGCTTCTCTAGTCCTGTTGTTTCTGGCCCTCCTGTGCAGTCTGAAATTGAACCTATGCAGTTAGGGGTTATGAGACTGTCAGAGGCAGAAAGACAGTTTAGGAGAAAAGAGGCAAATCATACAAAGGAAAAAACCAAAGGCATAAATATGTGCACAATCACCAAAAAGTGGTTACAGATAATCCAACCTGTATAACAATCGGTAGGATCTACCATAAGCACCGTATATCTGGTGGAATAAAATACAAATATAGTGCAATACAATATTCCTATTGTATTGCACTATATTTGTATTTTATTCCACCAGGTTAAAGAAGTGTTTAGTAAAAGTCACACACCGATACGATATCTCCTCACAGATCTTATGATTGCTCCAAAGAGATGTTACCCGGCACTATGCCCTCTAAGGGGGCAGTTTATGCCTTATCACCATAGGAAAGTAGGATTATGGAGGATTACATTAAAGAGTCTCTACAAAAAGGTCACATGTGTAAGTCTTCTTCACCTGCAGGTGCGGGGTTCTTTTTTGTATCCAAAAAAGATGGAGAGTTATGGCCATATATAAATTATATGGCATTGAACAAGATCACCATCAACAATGCTTATCCCATTCCACTTATCTTGGAATTGTTTGTCAGACTCACTCCAGGATGCTAAGGTGTTTACCAAACTTGACCTTAGGAGTGCCTACAATTTGGTAAGGATTAAGGAGGGTCATGAATGGAGAACTGCATTTAACACTAGAAGTGGTCACTATGAGTGTCTTGTCATGCCCTTCGGCTTATGCAATGCTCCGGACGTATTTCAGGATTTCATTAATGATGTTCTCAGAGACTACATTTCTACTTTTGTATTGGTATATTTGGATGATATTCTCATTTATTCCCCCGATCTCCAGACTCATCATAGACAAGGCATGTGAAGCAAGTGTTGCAAACTTTGCTTAAAAATGGGCTAAATTGCAAACTTGAAAAATGCATATTAAAGGACCACTATAGTGCCAGGAAAACGAGTCTAGTGCCCTGAGGGTGCCCCCCTCAGGGCACTAGAGTGCCAGGAAAATGAGGTGGTGGAAGGGGTTAAATTCCTCTAGGTGGTGGAAGGGGTTAAATTTACCTCTTTCTCCAGCGCCGGGCGGGGGACTCTCCTCCTCCTCGGCTGAATGCGCATGCGCGGCATGAGCCGCGCGCGCATTCAGCTAGTCCATAGGAAAGCATTCTCAATGCTTTCCTATGGATGCTGGTGTCTTCTCACTGTGAAAATCACAGTGAGAAGCGCAGAAGCGCCTCTAGCGGCTGTCAATGAGACAGCCACTAGAGGCTGGATTAACCCTATTATAAACATAGCAGTTTCTCTGAAACTGCTATGTTTATAGAAAAAAGGATTAAACCTAGCTGGACCTGGCACCCAGACCACTTCATTAAGCTGAAGTGGTCTGGGTGCCTATAGTGGTCCTTTAAACAGACGGAGGTACAGTTCTTGGGATATAATATTTCGGCCTCTGGTTTTCAGATGGACCCTCGCAAACTAGAAGCCGTTCTACACTGGTTAAAAGCCATTCAAAGGTTTATTGGGTTTGCTAATTACTATAGGAGATTCATCAAAAGTTTCTCTACTGTGATAGCCCCCATCACCAATATGACATGTAAGGGGGTTAAAGGACCACTAAAGTGCCAGGAAAACAAACTATAGGGTCTTTAGGGACCCCCCACCCTCAGGGTCCCACTCCCGCTGGGCTCAAGGGGGTAGAAGGAGTTAAACACTTACCTTTCTCCAGCGCCAGGCTCCCTCGGCGCTGGGGAACTCTCCTCACCCTCCCGACGTCAGCGCTCATTGTGCATGCATGGCAAGAGCGCGTGCGCATTCAGACAGTCCATAGGAAAGCATTACTCAATGGTTTCCTATGGACGTCAGTGTCTTCTCACTGTGATTTTCACAGTGAGAATCGTGGAAGCGCCTCTAGCGGCTGTCCATGAGACAGCCACCAGAGGCTGGAATAACCCTCAGTGAAACATAGCAGGTTCTCTAAAACTGCTATGTTTACAGCTGCAGGGTTAAAACCTGGGAGACCTGGCACCCAGACCACTTAATTGAGCTGAAGTGGTCTGGGTGCCTATAGTGGTCCTTTAACATTTACTATATGGTCTAAAGAAGCTAGAGAGGCTTTTGAGCTTCTTAAGAAATTATTCGCCTCTGCTGACATATTGGTACATCCTGACACTAGCAAACCCTTCATACTAGAGGAAGAAGCCTCTGAGACAGGGGTAGGGGCTGTTCTTTCTCAAAGGGAGAGTCAGGATACCCCTTTGCATCCTTGTGGGTTCTTTTCTAGAAAGTTGTCACCAGCAGAGCGTAACTCCGATATTGGTAACAGAATAGTTGGTCATTATACTAGCCCTGAAAGAATGGCAACATCTTTTGGAAGGTTCTAAGGATCCCCTCCTGATCATAACTGATCACAAAAACATGGCATACATTGGAGATGCTAAGAGGCTGTCTTCTAGACAAGCTAGATGGTCACTGTTCTTGTCACGCTTTAACTTTATCATCACGTACAGACCAGGTCCTAAGAATGTTAACTACAAAATGTGATAGTTTCACCTGACACCAGTAAAATAAAATAATATGACTTAACTTATAGGACACAGCCTCCCAAGGTTACCTCCCAGGTGGTAACCTTTCTTAACATATATGTATACGTAGAAACAATTTTCTCGGCGTTTGACCTATAAAACAAATAATAACCCATCCTTCCGTACAAGACTAAGTGGGAAAGAGATCTGCAAATTAAAATTGACCTAAAAGATTGGAATATGGCTCTTTAGTCGATTTACTCCACAGTCCACTGCTTAAAGGACCACTCTAGGCACCCAGACCACTTCAGCTTAATGAAGTGGTCTGGGTGCCAGGTCCAGCTAGGGTTAACCCATTTTTTCATAAACATAGCAGTTTCAGAGAAACTGCTATGTTTATGAATGGGTTAAGCCTTCCCCTATTTCCTCTAGTGGCTGTCTCATTGACAGCCGCTAGAGGCGCTTGCGTGCTTCTCATTGTGATTTTCACAGTGAGAGCACGCCAGCGTCCATAGGAAAGCATTATGAATGCTTTCCTATGTGACCGGCTGAATGCACGCGCAGCTCTTGCCGCGCGTGCGCATTCAGCCGACGGGGAGGAACGGAGGAGGATCGGAGGAGGAGAGCTCCCCGCCCAGCGCTGGAAAAAGGTAACCCCTTTTCCCCTTTCCAGAGCCTGGCGGGAGGGGGACCCTGAGGGTGGGGGCACCCTCAGGGCACTATAATGCCAGGAAAACGAGTATGTTTTCCTGGCACTATAGTGGTCCTTTAAATATTATGGCGGCGCATTACAAATTAGTAAATAGATGGTATATGACACTGGCAAAGATACGAAAGTTTTCAAATACTGATAGTCAGGGGTGCTGGAGGTGTGGTGCAGAAGATGCTGATGAAATGCATATACGGTGGAACTGTATACCGTTAAGGAGCGCTTGGGATTGTTTTTTAGCTGAAATTAATAAAATATAGGGCATTACACAAAAATGGGTACCAGAAATGGTACTGCTACATCTAAAATTACCACAACTAGCGAAAGATGAGAAATATTTCTTAATCCACGCATTGATGGCTATTAAATTGTCTATTGCCGGGAATTGGAAAAAGACGATAATAGATTCATGGCTACAATGTAAAGAAGCCATTATTCATCAATGTAAGATGGGAAGAGAAATATCTTCTAACTTCTGTATTAGTACGGAGAAATATAAAATTTGGGATAAAGGGATTAAGATCATTGAAAGACCTTTATCAGTCAAATGATTGACACGTATAAAAAAATTATGAATTTTTGAGATAAGGATAATAACTTCTGGTTAGAGTAAAAGTTATAACCCATAAAAACGCTGTTTTGATTGTGTTTGTATGTTTTTTTATTTAATTCTTTATTTTTGTTGTGCATGTTATACATAGCAGTGACATACGCCACAACAGCGTGTCTAAGAATGTACTTAAATGGAACAGTGGCATGAGGAATTGCACATTTTTGTATAATTGTAACAATCATCAGCTTGGCTAAACAGTGAAGTCATTAATATAGAATGAAAAGGTAGCTTATTTTAACAATCAGAACAGAAAATAACCTCGCTAGTGTTTCATGTTAGCTAGTTTTGAGTGACATAGAATAACGTATGAATGATTGATTCAGGCTAGTTCTAGCTATTATACAAGGGTGGATAACATATGATTAGTTTACTGTCTGCACTAAAGTGTAGTAGTAACAGGCTGAGTGTATGTGCTTATTGGCTACGTGCCATATATAGGCGATATTATGAAACAAGGGAGGCTATCAAGTGCTTCATTAATTAACCCTGTAGTGTGAAGGCAAGTCTCCCCTTTAAACAATAGGTGTGTGCTACGCTGAAGGTTAAGCTTATCATACTGTTGCTGTTAATCAATTTCAGATGGGTGTCAGGTGGCAGGTGTTAAGATGCTGTGTTTCGGAATCAGTCCAGGCGACAAGCAATTAACCACGAGAGAGTGTTGGTTGGTTTGCCTGCAGGGTGCCCAGAGTAGTTCAGCCGATACCTATCGGGTACTGGGTACAGTCCAGGAGTAAGTGGTAGTCCTGCATGGCAAAGCTCCTAGGCACTGGCAGGTAGGTTGGTTCCTTGATTGCTTTTGCAGGAGTCCCTTTCCACTTTTCCGGCTGTAGTTGTGACCTTTGCTGGGTTGCTCGCTGGGGTCTCGTTGTGCATCTCGTCGCTACGCGGTATCGGCTGGCTGGGTGTCGAACCGCTCTTCGCCTCCCCAGTTGGTCCCACGGTTTACAGCGTTTTACGGTAGTTGGGTTATGAACCTTCTTGTGGGTATTGCCGTCGGAAGCGTGGGGTGTACTTTGCGGGGTAGGCCTCTTGCTCTGTCTTGTGGCCAGCATATGCTTGCGTGCAAGGCCGGTCTCTGCTTGTCTCCTCGGCTTGGCCTGTTTTATTGGCAGGCCTTCGCTTTTGTGTTGGCGCCCAGTTCTTGCTTTCTTTTCTCTGTGAGAATTGCTTTGAAGGCAGGAGCGTGCGGGTGGCAGTGTCGGCTTTTGCTCTTTTGGGACTCGCTTTAGGGCTTGATATGTGTCTAGTTTTTCCCAGAAGGCTTCAAAGATGGCATTCAGCCTTGCCTCTGTGTCGTCCCTGGGAAATGTGTTGGGTCGTCCATTTGCTGTTGCCGCCATTTTGATACTCGCTAGCTCGGTCTGCCTGCGCCGTCCCTTGTCTCGGATGGGCGCTCCTGGGACCGGGATAACCCCCGCCGGTCCATAGGGGGGGGAACGAGGGCTTATGTGCCCGTTGCCAGCTTTGGGGGGATGCGGGGGAGCGGCCGCCTCCCCCATGCTGCCCTTGCTTGTAGGCCGCAGGTGTCCCTCCTCTGTGTCTCGCCAGTTGGGTCGTTCATTTGGTGTCTGCTGGTGCCCCATGGGGTCACCTCTCCGCATGTGGCACTTTTATGTCAGCTATCCGCCGTTATTGGTCTGATTTAGCGTGTTTTCTGGCAAGCAGAGCAGGAGCAACTCTATCCTGCGACCGTTCGCCTCTGCGGTCAGGCCCCGCCCCCGTGTTTGTATGTTTTTATGTCTTATATGTAACACTGGATGATATGTTATAATCAACTTTTGTATGAATATTTATGTCTGTAAATTGTATATTTTTGTATTGTTATTGAAAAAAACAAATAAAATATTTATATTAAAAAAAAAAATAATAATAACATGGTGCAATAGTCTAATAATCATATAACGCAAATTATCAGTTCCACTCATAGCCTTAAGGGTGCCACCCTCGATAGTAGTAGGAGCTTGAGTTCTTCCCTCAGACTCCTATATGGACTGATCCTTTTAGTACCAAAAACAATTGGCCAGATAATTCTTCAGTAAAAAAAAGGAAATTTTTTATATAAAAAATAATTAACAAATATTAAAAGGGTATGGTCATCCTACACGTTTCGTTCTCCTTGAGAACTTCCTCAGGGACCCATATAATGCATAAAACAAATAACAAATTTAAATAGTTCATTGGTGGGTAGGTGAGTGTCCTTCTTTACGTCCTCTGGATTCGTTGGTTATCTATTTGTGCCAGCCGTCTTCACTTTTCTTTAATTCATTTTCCGGTAATTCTGAGCATCAGTCGGAACTCCTATGAGGCACTTCCGTGTGTTCCACATGTGGGTAAGATAAAGATGGCCGTGCATTTTAGCCTCGTGTGTATCTTGAACTATGTACTCCCCCATGAGTTTCTCCCAAAAGGCAAAAAAATTGAATACGGAGCAGAATACGGAGTTTATATTTTTTTTGCCCTTTGGGAGAACACCAAAGTTACCTTCTTCCCAAGATCTGGTTCATATATTTATACGCGAAATTGTCAGATTACATGGTTTTCCACAAAATATTGTGTCAGACAGGTGTTCCCAATTTGTGTCAAGATTTTGGAGAGCATTTAACAAACAGTTGGGTATAGAATTGTCATTTTCATCTTTGTACCATCCTCAAATTAATGGTGTGGATGAGAGGGTCAACCAGTAGTACTAGTTGGAACTATATTTGCAATGTTTTATTAATGAAACTCAGGAAAACTGGTCTGACTTGCTACCTTGGGCCGAATTTGCTAGGAATAATGCAACCCATGACTCATCTGGACATAGTCCATTTTTTGTCAACAACGGTCGTCATCCTACTGTTCTTCCTGCGGTGTTCTACGACACTGCTATTCCTGCTCTGGATGAACATCTCGCATGTATACGTAAGACTTGAACTAAGGTCCACACAGCTCTAGAAACTGCTGCAGCTCGTTTCAAATTTCATGCTGATAAGCGGCGTGGTGCCAACCCTGTTTACCAGGTGGGTGATCGGGTATGGCTCTCCTCGCGAAATATCAGACTCAAGGTTACTAGCATGAAGTTTGCACACAGGTTAATTGGTCCCTTTTGAATTGTTTTGGAGAATCAATCCTGTTTCATATACTTTTGCACTTCCTGCCTCTTTGCTTATACCTAATTCATTTCATGTATCCTTGCTGAAGCCTCTTATCTGCAATAGGTATACTGTCCCTTTTGTCCCTCCTCCTCCTTTGGTTATTGCTGGATGGGAGGAAGTCTCCTCCATAATTGATTCCGGATTTTCTCGTGGTTCTTTGCAGTACCTGGTTGATTGGAAGGGTTCTTGCTTCTGATATACATGCTAGCCACAAAATCCGTTCTTTCCACAACGCCAAATTTCCTCTCAAACCTGGTCCTGTCTGCCCGGTGGGCGATTTTCAAGTGTGTGTGTGTTGGGGGGGGGGGTAATGTCACGTATCCTTCGTATCCATGTGACAAAAAGATAGATAATTACATTCCGAAGATCGAGGGGAGTGCCGCTCGGTGGTCTTCTGCCAAGATGCCTGACTTGTGCGGCATGTCGGTGCACGCCTGGCGCTGTGGACCCACACAATTATATAGCCCCACGTCTGTCCACGGTAAAGACGTCGTTGACGTGCGGGTGACGTCACGCAAAAGACGCACACGCACGTTTTGAAGTCAAGGGCTAGGTACAGCCAATCGGATCTGCAAGAGGGTTATTTAAACTCACATATTCCTTAGCTCACTGCCATGTCGGGGTTTCCCTTAGATGGTTATCCGAGAGTGTGTTCCTGATTGTGTTTTTCTGATTTTTGACTTTGGCTTCGTTTTGAACTCCCTGATTTCTGGTACCCTTGACTTTTGTCTTTTCCTTATCGCTGTGTCCCTGGCCTTGGCTAGTTTTCTGACTATTCTCGGGTACATTAAGTCCGGCCATTCTAAGGCACAGTAAGATGTTAATCTTAGTTCTAGGGTGTGATACTATTCAGCGTGCTGGATCAATATAATCCTGACAGCCCCATAGTAAAGTAACTGTGTATCCTGAATCAATAATACCTTGTAGTAATGTTACTCTGTACCCCATAGTAAGGTCACTTTGTGTAGCGGAGATGCAATATTACCCAGGTTATCTCCGCTTATAATCCAAGTGAGGCTCAGGAACAAGTAAATAGTAAATCCACAGGCAAGGCTTCCAGCAGGTAAAATACAGCAATATCCCAACAGCAATCCCAATAACTGGACGACACACAGTTTCAGGAGCAGAACTCAAAGCTTTAATCCACAGTCTCCTTATAAAGCATGCTCCCATGCAAGGGAGGGATTTACAGTAATTATTACAGTAGCCAATCCTGTCCTGGTAACCTCCCACACATCTCCTCCCCTCAGCCAGCATCATAATCCCCTTATCCAGTACAGTAATTTCCCCCGTTTCTGGATGTACCCCTAAACGTAGGGGTACCTCTTTAAATCCTACATCCCCGGATACCCCTGATCTGGGTGAACAACATATCCAAAAATCACCCAGATCAGACCAGGGGTTCGGGAAATGTATGGAGGCAATAAAATGACCGACCGCACTAACTGAGATAGCCGAATAAGGTTCCATGTGAATGGGCCCTGCGGTCGGTCCTGGCATAAGGGAACAAAATACACGAAAGCCTCTAGCTATAGAGGCTAGGGAGGGTTCGCCTGAATCCCCTCGTTCGGTATTTTCTATCTACCGAACGAGGGGCCGTTCGGTAGTTTGGAACCGAACGGACCAGGTTTGTGGAGGTCTCAGCGGTGTTCGCCTACTCGAGTGTCCGATTTTAGTTCCAGACACTCGACGGCAAAACACCGCTGTTCGGGAGTTTTAAAATGGCCGCCACCACGTGTTCGTTTGTCGAATGGCGGCCACCCCCGAGAACAAAGGACGGCTACTTACTATTCAATTACCCGTTCGCAACAATGTTGCAACGGGTAATTGAGGACACACTTCACACAGGGGAGGTCTGGTTGTTCGGTAGTTTCATTCGAATAAACTAAGGGAATGAAACTACCGAACAATCAGAGGAATACAATTCTCTTTAACACATAGAAAACACAGCAGATACACGAATGCAGGTATATACAGTATATTTGTAGGGTCGCCTGGTGCCATCCGCTACACTTTGTATGCTACTTCACTATATGTAAGTACTTACTCTGTAACTTGCATCCCTTACACATAGCAACACTGTTACTATGTCCTATAATAACAGCACTGTATTCTCCTTAATTTAAACCTCACTCTAATGTTACTCTGTACTTTGCCTAAATATCTGCCAGTTTATAGCGGCATTAATGATACTTTGCAGTAACATAACTCTCTACCCGCAGTGTTTTTAATAACTGTGTAAGTCAATAATTATTACTTGCTCTTTCAGTGATAACTTTCTGTATCCTCTAAACTTGGCACTGATGTTACTGTCTGCGCAATCACACTCTATACTCTGCAGGTATCTTAGACTGTACACCACACAGTACTTTTTACACTGTACGACGCAGTGAGAAAACTTGGTACGTCACAGTAACTTAATTTCCATAACTGTTCTCATTGATTTGTGTATTGTTTTTTTGCCTACAGATTCCCTCACTTCGCACTAAGTGCCGGACTACAAAGAGTGTCTGGCTCCATCTTATGTTCCGTTCTCGTCGGTCTGTCTCTGCTAGGCAGCTTTGGAGGCAGCGCTGTACAACGCCGAGCCGGGGCCTGGGGGAGGGGGCACCCCCCAACCCCGAAGACCTCCAGAATGCCCTGCGGCCTACAGCCCACCAACTCTTTAAGAAGCTGAAAGATGAGCAGTTATGGCAGCTGGCGGAGGCGGTTGAGAGCAAGGGACGCTGGGATTGCGGCTGTGTCTGGTTCCCATGGGAGTCAAGGGGTGGGAAACAAGCACTGGCACCCCAAGTGTTGCTATGCAAGCTGTATCGCTGGCCAGACCTGAGGCAGGCATCCGAGCTGAAGAGGTTGATGCAATGTGAGAATTTCTGGAGAAAGGGCAGTGAAGGAACGTCCATTTGCTGTAATCCGTACCACTTCAGCCGGCTGGCAGTGCCAGGTTTGCAGGGGAAAAGCAAGTTCAGAATTTATTAACTACAGAGGGGAGGATAACGAGGGGCACTATGGGGAGGTCACATTCTATAATTCTTTTACTTCCTCTATACAAATGACTTCTTTCTGATCTCAAAGCCACAGGTTTATCAGTTGCACTTAGCATTCTGGAATACCTCACTCATTTTACTTTGCCTCTTAAGCACAAATGTGACATTCTCACATCTCTTCCAGCTCTGTACTGTCTTTCCTCCACGTTGTGTCTCCTGTGTTTGTTATTGTAATGTCTTTTTGAAACCATTATATACTGGCCATCTGCCCCCATCCCTAGTCTGTTGTCCCATTGTCTGCACAAAGTGTACATAGCATCCGCTGTTAGTTAGTAGACTCTGATTCCAAGAATCCATTTCAAATGTATTTAATATATGGGGTCAAGATTTTGGTACTCAACATAAGTCCATCCATCCATCTATCCATCCACCTATCTATCTATCTATCTATCTATCTATCTGTTATGTCCTCACTCCATCCTTTATCATTGTTCTGTTTAATCAATTCCTTTTTTCTGTTGCAGAGTTACCTACCCAAGTCCCCTGCAAGGTAAAGGAGAGCCTACGGTTTGTTCCATCCGATACATTTTCTCCCCTAAATCCAGGGAGCACCTACAGCAATGTCCGAGGCCGACATGGTAAGTGTAAGAAAGTTATTATGAATATGTAAATGAGAAAACACTGTCTTAGTCAGTTTTCAGTGTAGACTTGAGCTTACCGTTACACCCAAAACACTGCCACCTGGAGGGCATTTTGGTATAATGAGTGTCACTGTCCAAAATAGTTTATGGTCTAGTACAGGGGCAGGCAACCTCTGGCACACCAGATATTGTGAACTACATCACCCATGATACTGTTCCAGTCATAATGCTGTTAAAGCATCAGGGGAGATGTAGTCCAAACCATCTGGAGGGACAGAGGTTGCTTACTCCTGGTCTAGTGGTTTGATGGGAGACCCTTCTCAAGGATGTCAACCCAGCTGTAAAATAGAGACCATTCCAAAGGATCTTGCAGTTTAAGGTATAAGGGGAGTTCCTGTCCCAAGGAGCTTATAATATAAATGTGTAATGCACAACTCTATAGTCAGTATTTCTGCTTCTCACTGGCTTTCTCTCTGTATTCCTCCAGACACCACTTTGTCCAGAGGCTCCTATAAGGATGGATACTGGTGCAAACTGGCCTACTGGGAGCACCGGACCCGCGTAGGCCGTCTCTACACTGTGAGTGAGCCATCGGTGCATATCTTCCACGACTTGCCCAAGGGTAGTGGCTTTTGTCTGGGATTCCTGGGCTCTGAAACCCGAAATGAAACCGTTAGACGCACCCGGATGAAGATAGGTCAGGGTATAACCTTAAGCCATGAGAATGATGGGGTTTGGGTTTACAACAGATCCGAGCACCCAATTTTCATCAATTCCCCTACACTGGCTTCTGTAAACACTCGCGGGCAGTCTGTGCACAAGCTGCTCCCAGGATACTCCATCAAAGTCTTTGATTCTGAACAGGAGGTCTCCAGGTGTCATGTTCTGGGGGATGGGCCCTACGATCCTCACAGTGTGCGTATCAGTTTTGCCAAGGGCTGGGGATCATGCTACTCTCGGCAGTTTATCACTTCCTGCCCTTGCTGGCTAGAAGTCCTTCTAAGACCACCGAGATGAACATGCTCCTCCGACATCTGGAGCTCCTAAGTCAATGCATCATAATCTGAATAAACCAGTTCCACCTGCCAAGCCTGGCCTCCATCACCTGTGCTGCCGTCAGAATAGAGACTTGTCACCTGTGCCACGTGCTGAGCTTATGCTTCAACATCAACTGCTAAACCTGGACTCAATCATCAGTGTCACCTTCTAAGCTTTTGCTTCACCAACTGTGCCAACTGCTAAACATGGACTTTATTTCCACCTGCTAAGTATAGACTGCACCACTTGTCCTGTCTGCTGAATCTAGGCTTCATTCCATGTGTGATAAATATACAAATATTACTATAAATGAAAACCAGTGTCTTCTGAACTCATCATCTGCACTATTTACACATGGATTTTTTAGATCTGTTATTTGGTAAATTCTACATTGAATGTTGCTCAGTCTCCTTGAATATCGCTCAATCTCCTTGAATATCAACGTTTTGAAATATTCATCTGTTTAACTGTCAAGGTCAGAATTGCAATTGTCATGTCATGACTCCAGACTCTATCCTACTGAATCCAGACTTCACCACTGCTCCCTTATGACCCCAAACTCAATCTTACTAAATCCAGATGTCATCTTTGAAACCTGACTTTTACATGGCTCCATCTTTTACTGCCTAATTAATCCTTAATTCAGGGTCTGTTGTTTGAAACTTCTATAATATCCAGATTCCATTTTCACTTTATCATCATCAAAACCTCGGGAACTTTCATTGCATCCGGGATCAACCATGAGTGCTATTCACCAAATTCAGGTTCCAGAGCTTCTATTGTCCACAACACTTACAGCTTCTTCAGCTCACAGCTATGTATTTTTACAAAGTACGAACTTTCGATATCCATACACTCGCAGCTCTAAGGCATCTCTCTTTTACCGATGTGAAATGAAGTATAAATCATGGGAGGACTGGTGCTCTCCTGTATATCTCATTGAGATGACCATGTTACCACTTATTAATACTTATCTAGAAGTTTGAATTTACTCTACTCTGGGGCCCAATGAGTAGAACTCACTACATGCTTTTAATGAAACGTTCACAAAAAACTGAATCTATTGTTCAACAGAACAGATCATTCTTGGACTCCAGAAATTACATGTTTGTAGATAATGGGTGTTAGGTACAAAATATGATTTTGAGTAGACTAAGTGGATTCCTGAGATTAAGGAGATGATTTATCAAAGTTTTCTGTTCTAAAAAGTGGTGCAAAATACAGTAGAAGGGGTGGTGTCACCAATTGAATAAGCCTGCCAGTTCCAATGGTTTCCATGGTGATTGATCCACATTTAGTACTATAAAATTACTTTTTAGAAGAGTATGCTGTCAGAATTCCACTAACATTCTACCAGTGATACATTGAAATATCTGCCCTGTAATAAATTGCCTTAACGTCTAATCCACAGTCTGACACTTCAATCACAGAGCACTCTGATTTAGGGGCTACATTTAGCAATATCTCAAACACGACTCATTGTTTTATAAAAATATCCTTTCAACTGGTGGAATACTGTACCTAAGTGTTCCTGACTCCCAAACGAAAGTATTAATTGGTGGCTTTACAGTAGGTAGGATTAGATAAGGAGGTGTCTATAGATGGTCTCTAGGTGTTATTAGCAGACCAGTTATGGGATTTATGAATGTGAAGTTGATAGCAAGTTTTAGATGAGAGCAAAGCCTTATATGGAATAAGGCACATAGTTTTAAAGGGACACTGTGTGCATTGTAGCTCCTTCATCTCATAGAAATGGTTATTGGTCTTGGAGTCCCCTGGTACTGCCCTTTCATTCAGTGTTAAACCACTTTGAACAGATTAAAGTTGACTGAATGTCATCAGCCATTTGCAGCTCACCTCTCAGTGGAGGTATATTTAAGGCAGATATTACATTCCACCTCAGTCATACCAGCAATAGGCAGTTGTGATAGGGTCAGAGACCAAACTCAGCCACTGCCACCCATCGCTACTAGGGATAATTTGGAGGCATTAGCTGAGGAGCTGAATTGTGACTGTGGGATACCAAGGAACCTCATAGAATGTTAAACCGTTCAAAAAAGGTTTAACACAGAGGCAGGGGCAGCAACATGGTACTCCAAGCACTATAAGCACTACAATGAAATTAAGAGGATATAGTGCCTAGAGTGTACCTCTAAGTAGGTTCTAAGGAATTTGAGGAATGTGCTGAATTTAGTGTTATGAATAGTATGAAACAGTTGAAACGGTTAGGTAAGAAGGAGGAACAGACGTCAGTGTAATGATGGGGGAAAAAAAGAGAGAAAACATTCTGGGTTTTTCGTGTCCCATAGTGTCTTCAGTGATACGGGCCTGTATACTCAGTTCAGTTAGAGATAATCTGGTCTTTAAATATTCTTTGTGTTCATTATACAGTCAGACACATATCACAAGGTAAAGAATTTGTTCCATGCCAGCAGCCAAAAATATTTTTAAACAAACAGTAATGCATCATTATGACTTCCGTTTACATGGGAAAAAAAACACTATGTAAGGTTCAGGAATATGTACTCAAATCACATAATATCATACAGCAATTGTTATTTAGACACATATGTAGAACTCTGCAGCTGATTGCGTGCTGCCATACGTTTATTTCCATTTATGTGGATTACGAGGTCACGGACCAAAACCTGTATTACAGCTATATTCTGATTGACAGCCAATCAGAATATGAAGTCAACAAATTTATATTGCTAATTTTCCTTTATGTCTATCGCCAAAACACAAATCCCAGGGCCTATGCATGCCTAGCACAACTCAGTTTGCCATTTCATACAGACAGCTATTTATATTAAAGCATTACTGTACTGACATTTTAAAAACAATACCGTCACTACCAGTTATGGCCTCCAGGTGGCAGAATGACATTCCACCGCTTATAAAAGCGGATATTACAATTAGCCTTACTAATGCAGCCACGACGGGTTAACCCAGGCTTCCCCAAACTCCGGCCCTCCAGCTGTTGCTGAACTAAAACTACCATGATTCTCAGCCTATCTTTTTCATTCATAGAATCATGGGAGTTGTAGTTCGGAAACATCTGGAGGGCCGGAGTTTGGGGAAGCCTGGGTTAACCCAATGAATGCGGCTGTTAATGTGCTACTACAGAGAGTACCCTTACCCCACTGAAACTGTGCCAGGCTAAATTATTTATATAACACCAGTAGTAGTACTGCACTGTATAGTGATAGTGATAGTGAGTATACCCTGACAATGGCCAGTGTGCACCCTATAGTGATTCAGGGTACATGCTGGTAATATATAGTCTGCTTTCTATAATGATACCGAGTATCTATGTATTGATAATTAACAGGCTGCTCTGTATAATGATGCTGAGTACCTATACACTGATAATAAACAAATTATTTTGGGATAAGATCAGAAATGAAAAGTTCAAGTGCAAATTTGGGTTAAAGAAGACGTCCCTGAACAACACGTACCAACTTCTGTTAGTACCAGTCGACAGGACGTCCAACCTCAGTATAACCAAAGTATTCATAGAAAAACCATGTATAGGGTTTTTTGGTTTTTTTATATCCGTATTTACAACACAGTATATTTTTAAATGTTATTTATATAGATACATTTTCTACCAGACTATTATGTTAAACTTACTGACTTTTAGTAACACAAAACATGGCCAAGGATCTCAGCTCGTTACTGTAATTTCCTGCGTCATGTATTAGATTGTAAGCTCTTCGGGGCAGTGCTAACATGTGCAGTGCTGTGTACACTGACAATCGTTTATTCTCCAATAAATTATTATCCACATAAAAAAAAAAAAAAAAAGTTATTCTTTAATATACTTCACAGAATGTGTGACCATATTATGCGGTATGTGAAGATCAACCAATACGTTACCTCTCACTCAAGACTTTCCCGTCTCATTAGCATTTACTCACTAAAAGACAGATTTTTGTGAATTGACAAACAAACTGCAAAGCATAGGCTACAATTGCTGTGACTATAGTTGAGAAAGATAATATTTCTAAATCAGTCATTTTTGCTTATATTTTGCAATTCACTTTTAAAGTCACTAATTTGGGGTTTAGTGAATAAACCCGTAACGTTGTAGTGGGAGCGGACGGCGTGATACCACAAATTACTTGTTTATCGGTCACCGAGTATTTAGATTCCGAAGTGACCCTCAAGCCAACTCATTACAGAGCATTAGAATGCAGGACATCTCGCTCTATACGCTGGTGACACCTTCAGGACAAATGGAGTATTAGTTATAGTTACATAGCTGCGTCCATCAAGTTCAGCCTTCCTCACATTTGTTTTTTGCTGTTTATCCAAAAGAAGGCAAAAAACCCAGTTTGAAGCACAATTTTGCAACAAGCTAGGAAAAAATTTCCTTCTTGACCCCAGAATGGCAGTCAGATTTATCCTTGGATCAAGCAGTTATTGCCCTACATTGAAAGATTATATCCTTTAATATTCTGTTTTTGCAAGTATGCATCTAGTAGCTGTTTGAACATCTGTATGGACTCTGATAAAACCACTTCTTCAGGCAGAGAATTCCACATCCTTATTGTTCTTACATTAAAAAAACCTTTCCTTTGCCTTAGACGAAATCTTCTTTCTTCCAGTCTAAACGCATGACCTCGTGTCCTATGTAAAGTCCAGTTTGTGAATAGATTTCCACACAATGGTTTGTATTGGACCCGAATATATGTATATAATGTTATCATATCCCCTCTAAGGCGACGTTTTTCTAAACTAAATATGTTTAAATTTGTTAACCTTTCTTCATAGCTGATATGTTCCATTCCTTTTATTAATTTTGTAGCCCACTTCTGCACTTTTTCTAGTGCCATAATATCCTTCTTTAGAACAGGTGCTCAAAATTGCACAGCATATTCAATATGTGGTCTTACCAGTGATTTATAAAGAAGCAAAATGATATTCTCGTCCCGAGAATGAATGCCCTTTTTCATGCATGACAATACCTTTCTGGCCTTGGCCACTGCTGATTGACATTGCATATTGTTGCATAGTTTGTTGTCTATAACAATTCCCAAGTCCTTTTCGTGTGTTGTTATCCCTAATTCGCTTCCACTAAGGGTATACGTTGCTTGTGTGTTCTTTACGCCGAAGTGCATAACTTTGCATTTTTCAACATTAAATTTAATCTGCCATTTGAGTGCCCAGTCCCCCAGTCTATCTAAATCCCTCTGCAGCAAAGTAATATCTTGCTCACATTGTATTATTTTACAGAGTTTTGTGTCATCTGCAAACACTGAAACATGACTTAACCATATTAAATAGAAGGGGTCCCAGAACAGACCCCTGAGGGATACCACTTGCCACCTCTGTCCAGCTTGAAAATTTACTATTAATGACAACTCTTTGTACTCTGTTTTTAAGCCAATTTTCTACCCAAGAACAAGCATTTTCATCTAGACCGATTTCCTTGAGTTTGAACACTAATCTATTGTGTGGAACTGTATCAAATGCCTTGGCAAAATCCAAATAGATCACATCCACGGCAACACCCTGGTCTATACTTCTACTTACTATTTCGTAGAACACAATCAAGTTAGTTTGACATGATCTGTGCTTCATAAAACTGTGCTGATTTTTGCTGATAACCATATTCTTCTCAAGGAATTCTTGAATATTATCCCTTAATAACCTTTCAAATATTTTCCCAGCCACAGAAGTTAAGCTCACAAGTCTATCATTTCCAGGCAAGGATTTTGAACACTTTTTGAATATTGGAACCACATCTGCCTTCCTCCAATACTCCGGAACACTTCCTGAAAGAAAAGAATCTTGAAAGATTAAAAACAGAGGTTCACTTATTTCTACACTTAGTTCCTTAAGTACTCGTGGATGGATACCGTCAGGCCCTGGAGCTTTGTTTATATTAACTTTCTTTAGTTGCTGCAACACCTTGTCTTGAGTTAACCAATTACAATTATTCTGCAAGTTTTTAGTAGCAATCATTTGCACATCTATTGCCATGGGTTCTTCCTTAATATATAACATAGACATCATAGACCCTACTCTCTGGCTCTTACGGCCACTTCCACATTGGCTTTTTTTTTACATTTAAGTTCAAATTCACTTTGAATTCTCACTTTAGTAAATAGCCCTATATACATGCACTTAGAATCTGTGTCCACACTAGAAATTAATGCTGGGGCCTTCTACAAACCTTAGATACTATTACCCACCCATATATTTGCTTTTTTTTCAGTATTCGTGTTAGCGTATTTTATTTGTCTCAAGCATTTCTGTACTGTGCAGACCAAGACTGTCATTTTCTTTCCAATTTCCACCCTTTTTTGATTCCTCCACCTTGTGCAGCACTGTCAGCCATGTCATTTAATAAATGAAACTGCTACTGAAAGTTGAACAGTGTATTTGTCACATTAATCTGAAGACATGATTCTGCTCACCAGCTACTTCCTGGTCTGGACTGGGCTTAAAACAAACTGCAGCAGTATCACAAGTCATTTCCAACGTGAGTATTTTCTATCTCCTAAATTCTATTTAGTTTGGTTAAAGCTCCACTGTCACCCTACCCTCGAAAAATGAGTATTTCATAGAGATAGAATCTTTACGAAATATTAATATTGTCTGTGTTGGAATTACATGGAAATTCCAAACCAGTCAAGAGATACACGGAGACAGATGCAGTTAATTAGCCTTTTCTATTGAGGATCCTCCATAGACCTCAATGCTGTGCTCTCGCGCATGCATAAGTGTTCTGCAGTGACGTCCACTACTGGTGCTTCAGATGACCCACCAGGAGAATATGGTGGAGCCCACGGGAGCCAGGTTCAGGTATGTAGAACTCACCTTTGCCTTCCCCTACGGCCACCCAGTAGCAATGTCACAATAGGGGGCTTTGCAAATTCTGCAAAAGTGCTCCTACCATGTTTCCCTGAAAATAAGACCGGGTCTTATATTAATTTTTCCCTCAAAAACGCACAAGGGCTTATTTCCGGGTGGTCTTATTTCAGGGAAATACGTGTAGTAGAAAGCAGGTCTATGTTCGGGGGAATTCCCCCGAACATTGACCAGTTCACTACGGCATGGAATCCTGCGAATCTATGTTCGGGAATGTTTTCTAAACATAAATCAGTTCTCTTGCGAATGGAATCTTGTGTATCTATGTTAGGGGAAACCTCTAGATTAGTTCACTCGCGAATGGCATTCCGCATATCTACGTTCAGAGAAAATTCCCCGAACATAGATTAGCGAACGACTAGGGCTTATATTATGAACATGGTATCATTTTGTTTACATACATTTATTGTCTTATAATGCTATAAAAATAGTACATTTCCAACATGGTTTACCTTAAATGTTCACGTTCATGCATATCATGATAGAGTTCAGTTGTAATCTGACATTTATTACAGAATTTATCTCACAAATTACACAAATTAAGCATTTATTACATTTCATGTCCTCTATATACCATGTTATCCACTTTAGACTCCTGTCATCTATTCTCGTTCCCTCATGCTCTCCCTTGCGCTTGATTCTGTATCATGTATGAAGCATAAGCTCCCTTGGACATTATTCTCTCTCCTTGAACATTTTCATGCAGTCCTATGTAATGCCCACCCTTATTCTGGCCTGTACACTATGCTTTTCCTTGTGCAAACTATTTGATCTATTTTCCTGCACACTATTCAATACACTGTCCCAGGCCTGTACTGTTCCATTCTTGTGCGCTAGTGTCTCTGTACTTGTCGAGTAAGCTTCTCCTGCAATGCACTATTCCTCAACCCTCCAGCACTAGGTCCGCTATGGGCTAATGTTTCTCCCCAGGACACTTCTCCACGAACACTGTTCTTTCTCCTTGTGCATTATTCCTTAAATTTCCACTGCACTAGTGTCTTCCCTGTACACATTGTTTTTATCCCCACTTCACAATTCTGCCCTCTTTATTCACTTTTATCCTTCCCTGCACAGTGAGGGGCAATATGTGCACTACAACCATTTCATCTTCTCAGAACTACAGACACTATAACCACTTTAATGATATAAAGCTGTTACATTGCCTACCATGTCCCTTTACTTTCTCACCCCTCTGCAATATTATTTTTCTCACACCTCATCTACTTCTCTCTCTCTCTGTATACTAGTATTTAGTGTGCACCTCTATACACTATTTCCTACCCACAATACACTATTTTTTTCCTTCATGCACAATATCTAACATGCACATTTCTTTACCCACCGTGAGCTATTCTTACATAGGATAAAAATAGACATGCAACCATCAATTCATCCTTTTTCTCATTTAAAATATTTCCTAACCACTAATTCCCATATTCACGATTCCCTATCCTCCGTGCTCTATTTCATATTCACCATGTATTATTATTGCCATTTATATAGCGCCAACAGATTCCGTAGTTGAATTATTCTCTCCCTCTTTGTGCTATTCCCTAAGCATCATGCACAATTCCCCTCTTATTTGCACCATCCCATTGCCAGTGATGTTATATAAAATCCCCTGCTCAGTTTACTGCCCGTGTGAAATTCTTTAAAGCTGTTAAACCTTTCTACAGGGTAATCTATAACATACATAGTGCAGTATGACGTGAACAAAGCCCCTCATTCTAGTGTAGTACAAGTTTCCAATTATATTTATCACTATTATCAATACGTTAAATTATGGTATAAACCTCTGTTCTACAATACAGCGATGTCCGATACCTGCACAAATGTCACCATGTATGGAGGGTCCTCCCGTAACAGAAATAATCACCACTGAACATTTCTGGCCTAGTTTCCGCTTTCTCTCCCCAGGTAACGAACCTGTCTATTAAAATGTCCTATATTCCATTCAATATTCTCTCCCCTATACACTATTATCTATCCACCATGCACTATTCTCTC